AAAAAAAAAAAAAAAAACCAACAGGGGCCAGCCCTGTGTTGTATCAGTTAAGTGTGCGCTCCGCTACTGGCAGCCCAGGTTCGGATCCTGGGCGCGCACCAATGCAACGCTTCTCCCGCCATGCTGAGGCCGCGTCCCACATACAGCCACTAGAAGGATGCGCAACTACGATATACAACTATCTACTGGGGCTTTGGGGAAAAAAATAAAATAAAGTTTAAAAAGATATATTTGCATCGTGCTAGGCCTCAAGCCCTAACTTCTTTTTCAGCCTTTTCTTTGGTGATTCCTTTGTCCTGAGCACAAGACAGGCCTGCAGCCTTGACTGGATGTCCGACAGAAAACTGTGGGAACTCCAGGGCTGGAGTCAGCAGAACCGTCACTTGGGGAAATTTGAGAATGTCCTTCTCTAAACACAGATAACCATCTGGGATGGTTTATAAAGTCCCTGAGCACCAATTTTCACTGAACAGTTGCCTTAGGCAAAGCCTCATTGCCATCACACAGTACGGGGGACAGACGGAGGTGTATGTGAGGGTGAGGGTTTCAGTTTTCGCAGGAAACAGCTGGAAAATTAGCAAACATTGTTCTAGCCAAAAATCTCTGTAAGCTCATTCAGTGTAATAAGGGAAGACAAGGAACAGAACTAAGCTTTGGTGAAAACTCCTGGAGAAGGAAGGAGATGGGAGAGGATGGTGAGCCACATTCATTCAGTGATTACTGACCCGGAAGGCTGACTGGCTGAATCTACCCCTTTGAGGCTCAGAACAGAGGTCACGGTCACTGTCTACAGATTTACTGGGCACTTGCTATGTGCCAGCACTGTGCTGGACGCTGGGAAACATCAAGGAACCAAACAGACAACAGTCTGCCCACCGGAGGCTCACATTCTACTGGGAAGAGAAAGACCGTAAGGATAAAGCCACATTGAGTATCAGGAAAAGTGCCACAGAGAAAAGCAAGAGCAGGGAGAGGTTGGGAGTCCCCGGGGAACTTAGTTCAACAGCTGATTAGATATAATTCGTGACTATTGTTTAATGTTGATTCTTCTTTTTTTGGCCCAGCCAGACAGAACTCCTTTGGGAGTGGGGAAGGGAGTTACCACCTTTTCTTAAAAAGCAATCAGTTACTGAGAACCCACAAGCGCCAGACATCTTGCTAAGTGTTAAAATAAAAACAGGCTTAACTAGTGGCCCCACTGCTTAGAGACATACATAATGATAATGACATTGTAATATCAGCAGTGGTGCAGCTAACACTTATTGAGGTACTTCATATTTACTATCTTTCTCCATTCTTGTAGCAGTGTAGGAGCTACTATTATGAGCTCTGTTTTCTGAAGAAACTGCTTCTCCCAGAGGTTAAGTAACTTGGCTCAAGGTCTCAGAACTGTTAAGCAGCCACAGTAACAAGTAAGCATACAAGGGTCATCTAGGAACCAAATGCAATGTGGGGGCCCTATCTAGATCCTGAGGAGAACACCCACTAAAGCAAATAAAATGCACAAGACAACGGGGAAATCTGAACATTGACTGCATATTTTAATTTCAGATATGATAATGGATTGTGGTTTGATAAGGGGAAAACACTCTTTATCTTTTAGAGATACATAACTAGGTATCTAGGAATGAAATGATACGCTATCTGAGATTTGCTTTAAAATAATCCAGTGTGCAGAGCAGCGAGGAGAAGTGGGCAGGGTACAGATGAAAGAATTTGGCCACAGGTTGATAGCTGTTGAAGTCAGGTATTCTTAAGAATTACAAAAAAAAAAAAGAGAGAGAGAGAGAGAGAAAGAGGGAATTATATATTAAATAGTAAAAGAAAAACATTAAAAGAAAACACGAAAACCACTAGGCTTTGAACCAATCAAGGGAGGTTCCAGCCCCAGCTTTTCCACTGTAAGATCTTAAGCGAGTCACTTCCCCTCTTTAGGGCTGTTTCTTTATCTCTAAGACAAAGATTAGACCAGATCAGCACTTTACAAAGCTTTTACTTGACCCTCCCCCTGCCAAAAAACAAAGACAGGCTCCTGGTTAACAGTCTCACAAATACTGGTTGAGCAGGTTTCTTTACCGAGGGACTTTTCGGAGCCTGAGATATGTTAACGTGAGTATGAATCTCCAAGGCTCCAAGGCTGGGAGTGCGGGGACAGTATTTTCTGCCTCTGTCTGACCCCTGAAGCCTTTTAATGATGAAAATACCAATTTGGGGAAGACTGATCTGGAGGGTCCTTGAGGCCCCTTCAGCTCTAATAAGCTGTACTTCTACTACGAGGTCTCACTGCTCAGGCAGGACCAGGATGAGGAAGGAGGATGATGGCCTAGAGGCCCTTACATTTCGGATTAGATTGGGAAAGGCTTTGAATGCCATATTAAGGACTAGAGACTTCATTACGCAAAGGAAACAGTTGAGAGGAGCAGCAAGATCCATGATCCACGTTGTGCTCCAGGAGGGTCCTCCAGGGCATGTTGGAGTCTGGGCTGGGAGAGCGGAGGCAGAGATGCTGCTGCTGTAACAAGGCATGAAGGGCCAACAGCCTGCTCTGGGATGGCAGCCCTCGGGACTGGGGAGAAAAAGACACACAGGCCGAGGGATGAGGAAGAGGCCAAGAGACTTATAAGCTACAGTCTCAGATGCTTAGGAGACGCTCTAGAAGAAATGGGGAATCCAAGCAGGAAAACTGCAGGAAGAGAAAAGTCAGATTGCCACGAGAACAAGAAGAGTAAAATAAACAAACAAGCAGAAATTGTTGAGAACTAACTGAGAAGTACAGCAAACCAGAGACTTCAATACTAGAACTCGAAAAGCTTGAAAAAACTGGGGGCATTAAATAGTCAAGAGGTGAATTCAGACCCTCTCCATTAGGTGAAGGAAAAGTTTTATCTCATAATTTGATATTGAGGCACAGGACTGAAACTAACGGAACTATCAATAAATAAAGCTGAAGTTAACAAGCACTGTATTAAGTGCCTTACATGCACTCACTCACTTATTCCTACTGCCACCACCATAAACTGCTCTTATGACTCCACTTTTCAGATAAAAAAACTAAGGCTCCAAGAGGCTGACTGGTCCAAGGTCAAACAGCGACATTAGGTGATGTGACCAGCACTCAAATCCAAGGAGCCTGTGAGGCCCACCTCTTGTGCTGTGCTCTTCAGGGTTCCCTGCATCTACAAAAAACCATCTGCTATAAACACTCGTAACTCATCTTGCTTGAAAAACATTCACCTAACCTCCCCCGGGAGGGTCACAGGATCTCCCAAACCCAGTTCAACTCACCCAGCATGCACTAAACACCTGCTTTATGTCATTAGTCTACTCGTAACTGCGGCCTCAGAAAGAAGTATGAGACCCGCCCCGACTTCAAGGAACCAGCTATCTGTGAGAGCCACGAGACAGACACACATAAAACAGCAAGAACAATAGAAGATTGTAAATGATTATGGGCCAAAATGAGAGCTGCAGATAAAAAACATCTCTTGGGAGCTGAGAGGAAGGGGAGGTCACCATGGACTGAAGTGGTTTGGGAAGGCTCTCTGAAGAGGCAGCACAGGGGCTGGAGCTTGAGGGCTGGGCAGGACTGAAGGCAGTCAGACAGGATGGACTGGGGTGGGCAGTAGAGATGAGAGAGACAAGAAAGAACAGAGGCAGGGACACCAGACAGAGGTCTCCTGAAAATCAGTATCTCCACCCACAGACACACCCATTCCCACAGGTGTAGGCCAGACAAGGAGACTAAAGACTCTGTTCTACGCTCTAGGCACCTTCCCACAGAACTTTCAGATAAACAAGCACACCGATGTCCTAAGGATGTTCACTGCGGCATTGCTTCTAAGGGTGAAAAGTTAAAACAACCAAAATGTCCAGCAACAAGAAATGGATTAAGTAAAGGAAGATACATTCAGGGCCGGCCCCGTGGCTTAGCGGTTAAGTGCGCGCGCTCCGCTGCTGGTGGCCCGGGTTCAGATCCCAGGCGCGCACCGACGCACCGCTTCTCCCGCCATGCTGAGGCCGCGTCCCACATACAGCAACTAGAAGGATGTGCAACTATGACATACAACTATCTACTGGGGCTTTGGGGGAAAAAAATAAATAAATAAAAATTAAAAAAAAAAAAAAGGAAGATACATTCAGTCCACGGGACACTACAGTCATCAGAAGAATGAAGTAACGTGGAGATATCTCAATGACATACTAGGGATGAAAAAATACAATTCTATGGCTTACTACCATTTATGGAAAACAGAACAAAACTAAATGAATGTATACATGTATGTCAGTCAGTGTACATAAAACTATAAAAGAATGTACACCAAAGTCACATTGGGACTGTGTCTCGAGAAAAGAGCAGGATGAAAGTAAAGGGGATTTTCACTTCTAACTCTCCATAGCTCTGCACTGGTTTAAGTCTGCAATGAAAACTTTTTCCTGTATTGAAAAGACTGCAAGTTCCCATCCAGCCTCGTGGTTCACATGCCTTTAACCTGCCGTGAGGGCAAAGAATGCAAAAATCACCAAAACAGAGGATCATAAAATTTCACAGCTGGAAACCTCGAGGATGTTCTCATTCAAGCCTCCAGAACCTCAGGAGCACATGACAGGGCGAAGGGAAAGATCCACACTAAGATACAGGAAGGTGCCTGATGGGAACCAACAGAGTAAGCCCCAACTTTTAGTGCACGTTGGGCTGAGATCTTGGGAAGATCAGCTTATTACTGATTTTTAACACTGCAAACCCGGGACACTGCTTCACCTCCTCTCAGCCTGGTCAACCGTGATTCTTTCTTTAAGTCTAGGCTCAAATGTTACCTCTCTCTTTAAACAAAATTAACTTTTAATGAAGTTGCCAAATTAATTCTAGCAACTTTTTAGAAAATACATAGCCCCCCAAAAATAAATAAATAATTAAAACAATCTGGAGTCCTACCACCCAGTACAGTCACAGTATCTTTTTTTTAAAATAGGACTGTGGTAGACAGTTTTGTAAACTAGTATTTTTATTAAACAGTATATTGTGAAAGGTTTTCCATATCATTACATTTTCCTCAACAGCGTCTTTTATAATTACTGCATAATTTGAAAAATAAGAGCAACCTTTTATTGAGGACTGTGCTAGGCATTTTATTTACATTATATCAATTAATCTTCAAAACAAGCCTCCCCTGCCAAAAAAAAAAAAGCTTAGATGGAGGGCAAAAACTGCTGGGGAGGGGCTGTTGCTAGGGTTTGGGAGAGATTAGGTACCTGGCCAAAGTCACACTATTGAGCAAGCAACAGACTGGAATTCACACCCAGGTCCGCCTAACTCAGAATCATGAATTTTTTTTTTTTTTTTGTGGGGAAGATCAGCCCTGAGCTAACATCCATGCTAATCCTCTTCTTTTTGCTGAGGAAGACCAGCTCTGAGCTAACATCTATTGCCAATCCTCCTCCTTTTTTTTTGCCCCCCAAAGCCCCAGTAGATAGTTGTATGTCATAGCTGCACATCCTCCTAGTTGCTGTATGTGGGACGCGGCCTCAGCATGGCTGGAGAAGCGGTGCGTCGGTGCACGCCCGGGATCCGAACCCAGGCCGCCAGTAGTGGAGCGCGTGCACTTAACCGCTAAGCCACGGGGCCAGCCCCAGAATCATGAATTTTTGATGTTCCCCTGTAAAAACGGATCACAGCTCCTCACCCCAATCTCCAGCTACTGGGCAATTTGACTGTTTCTAATTTTTCTCTCTCATCAACAGTGCTATGATGCACATCCCTACAGTGAAACTTTTGTGATCGCCTGCCCCCCAGCTAGGCCTTTCCTGACTGCTCTGGGCAAACTCTGCTTCTCAAACCATCTGCCACAAAAGACCTATCTTTTTTATTTTCAATCCATTTTGGACCAATATTTTCGTCAAATATAAGGAAAATTAATTCCTAGAAACAGGAAAACGAAAAAACACAAACAAAATATAAGCCCCAAATGGTTAAAACGTTAAATTTTATCTTATATATATTTTACATATACATTTACATTAAAAAAAAATACAAGCCCCAATTTAAAAAATTAGTGGATTCAAGAGACTTGGTCAAATTGCTGTAAACGTTTCTGTACTTTTCGTGTAGAGGACCAGATAAGTTTGGGGGCTGAGGCCGGGATGCAGACACACTTCGAGCTGCATCTCAATTATTCCCTCCAGACGTTATCTGTTCACCCGGGCTCCTTCCCTGCCCATGTCTGGTTCACTACTGAATGCTCTGGCTCAGTGCCCAGAGCACGCCTGCCGACTCTGCGGACTGAAGGAATGTTCAAGTAATGTCTCTGGCCTCAGCTGCTGGGAGAGGCTACTTACCATTAGGAACCAAAAGGAGGCTTTTCACGATGCTTCTGAGGGGGCCGAGACTGATCTGATTGGTGGTGGCAAATTCAGAGAGCTGAGCCAGAAACCTCTCCACCTGCCGGGAGGGAACAGCACAAACCAGGCCTTCGCTTTCTCAGCATCTCAGGACGCAGACCCACACTCGGGAACTCGCCTCATCCCAGGATACTTTACCTCTTTCGGCTCGGTCAGGAAGTGGAAAAGCACTTCTGTCAGGGCTGAGAACTGCTGTGAAGAGAGTAACACAGAACATCAGTAAAACTCTACTCCTGGGTCCATGTTCCCACATCCCATCCAGCTACAGACCCTTAAGAGGGAAGAACACACAAGTGCTGACTCCTGTTTGACCATCTTCAAGTTACCAATAGTTACAACACCCACCACCAGTGCTAACACATCTGTATCACTATACTGTCTGAAAAACTCGTATATTCTATTGGGATACTTGGGAGATATACATTGAGAGACTGTGAGTGTGCGCCCACACGTGCACACATACATCTCAAGGGTCCAAATACACACACACAGACACACAGAAAGCCGAAAAGGGAAAATCACTGGAACGTTAATAGCAGTTACTTACTTCTTTTTCTTTTTGTTTATACTTCCACATTATTATTCAAAATAAGCTAATACAAATATATAATTTTCCTCCCCCCCGCCAACAGAAATGGTGACAAACTACACAAACTTTCTCTCTACCTTGCTTTTTAAAGCAGTTACTTCTGTGTGGCGAGATTTTGGGTGATTTTTATTTTCTTCTGTTTTGTCTATCCATATTCTCTGGGGTTTTTTTCCTGCACAATAAACATCTTACTATGTATATGACAAAACAGTACATGTAACGCTTTATTACACAGTTTTAGAACAGTCTCATTCTTTTGGACATGGCATCCTTCTCTGTAGGTACTGTATGGTTAAGGACTGAATATTTGTGTCCCCCAAAATGCATATATTGAAGCCCTAATGCCTAATATTACTGTATTTGGAGACAGGGCCTGTGAGGTGACAAAGGTTAAATGTTGTCATAAGGGTAGGGCCCTAATCTGATAGGGCTGGTGCCCTTGTAAGAAGAGGAAGACACCCCAGAGCTCTGTCTCTGTGAGAAACATGTCATAATGACACAGTGAGAAAGTAAACCAGGAAGAGAGCTCTCAACAGGAACTGAATCTGTTGGCACCATGATCTTGGACTGACCAGCCTCTAGAACTATGAGAAATAAATTTCTCTTGTTCAGGCCACCCAGTCTGTGGTATTTCATTATGGCAGCCCAAGCAGACTGAGACACATATCATCACTTTCCCATGTTCCCTCCCAATGGACACAGTGTGTGTGGCAGAGTGGGGAAAACCAAGACAGAAGAGTTTAAAAGACCCAGATGTGAATCAGTGCTTTGATACTGACCATCCATGTGACCTTGGGCAAGCCACTTAGCCTCTCGGTGTCCCAGTCCCCATAGGGAAAACAAAGTTAATAATACATAGCTTCTAGAACAGTACAAGTGGCACATGCAAAACCTCCAGCACCGTGCCAGGCTAGAGGCTAAACAAATGGCAGCTATTATCAGAGCCATAACCAAAGTCACTATACCATTTGATCCACCTTCCTGAAGCAATACAACATGAAAAAAAAAAAATCACAGGCAGATACTTCAGCTCAAAGTCCTCAAAGTTGTACACAGAACATGACTGTCAAATGCACCTGCCCCTTTTACCACGACACACTAAACTCCACACAAACCCTTGGTGTGGCTCTGTACTATTCTATTCTAAAATGTGTTCTAGGGCCGGCCCCGTGGCTTAGCGGTTGGGTGCGCGCGCTCCGCTGCTGGCAGCCCGGGTTCGGATCCCCAGCGCGCACCAACGCACCACTTCTCCGGCCATGCTGAGGCCACGTCCCACATGTAGCAACTAGAAGGATGTGCAGCTATGATATGCAACTATCTGCTGGGGCTTTGGGGGGGGGGGATAAATAAATAAAATCTTTAAAAAAATAAAAAAAATAAACTGTGTTCTATTTTAAAATATAAGGGTCCAGCCTGGTGGCATAGTGGTTAAGTTTGCACGCTCCACTTCAGCAGCCCAGGGATCACAGGTTCGAATCCTGGGCACGGACCGATGCACCACTCATCAAGCCATGCTGTGGCGGCATCCCACATACAAAACAGAGGAAGATGGGCACACACGTTAGCTCAGAGACAATCTTCATCACTAAAAAAAAGTATATATATATATATAATATAATATAATATAAAACTAGTCTTTGAAAATATAAAAGTAATGCATGTGCAAGGTTTTGAAAAGACTCAACTAACATAAAACATAATATGTTTCTCTCTTCCTGCCACACACCCCCGCCCCGTCCCACTACCCACAGGTAGTTATTTAACACCTCTGTGGCCTTCCCGTTGTTTTATTTAATTTCTTTTAAATATAAATGGGATCATACTGAACCCACTCCTTGTACCTTGCCCTTTTTCACTCATTTATATCTTAGAGATCAATCATGTCAGCAGATATAAATCTACCCAGTTCTTTTAACAACTGCATGGTGTTCGATTGTATAGACTTAGCATAATTTAGCTCCCTAGAGAGGAATGTATGTGTGTGTGTGGTGTGTGTATGTGTGTTTTGTTGGTGCTATTATAAACAATGTTGCAATGAATAACCTCTCACATATTTCTTTGTGACATGTATATCTATAAGACAAATTCTTCAAATGTATCCTAGGTTAAAGGATATATACATTTTGAGTTCTGAGAAAATGTTGCCAAATTGCCTTGCAAAGAAGTTGCACAGGTTTACACTCCCACCAGCTAATAGCACAGAAGTGTCTGCTCTCTCAAAACTTAATCACTGATACTCCTGGGAAACATTTTAACCACTGCTAATCCAGGGCTTGTCTTTCTGCAATATTTATGACATTGGGTATTATTAGTCTTGCATAACTGCTGATTCTATATAGTAAAAACAAGAACAGTCAGGACTCGTTTGGGAACGTGTCCTCAAACTGTTTTAGATTTCCCTTATTTCTTTAAAATTTTTTGCTGCAAATCTGAGGAACTGTCAGATCTTTGGCCAACTGTATTTCCTATGCTATCCAGGGCCTTTTAAAAAAGAGGGCAGCCAAGAAGCTCTCCAGCTGCTTCTCCATTTCCAGGCCTCAGCCTAGCATCAGGCTCAGCCTCCTTGTGAGGTCTCATCTCCCATCTCTCCTTTCAAGAGGGGCCTCAAGCAAATCTGGTCTACAGGCTGTTAGGACCCCCTTCCCTATCTCCACTTTCCCACACCCTCCTTATCCTTCAAAGCCCTGCCAAGATACCGTGACACTCCCAACAAGAAAGGGACCTACCCAGATTCTTAACTTCTGAGGCTCCCTCTTGGAACCTTGCCTGGGGGCACTTAGAATTTTCAATCTTGATAAGGAACACAAACATCTCCTAGCAGAGAAGGTTCCTTGTATGGCTTTGTATGGTCACAGAGCCTTAATTAATGTAAGTGCTCAGTAAGTATTTGTTGAATAAGTGTTCCCTAAATACTTTCCCCATTCTTTGCCTTTATACCTGCCTAGCTGTCTCTCCCTGGAATGCTCACCTGCCCACGACTATCCACAAAATCAAAATCTTAACTATTCTTACCAGTAAACATTAGGAAAAGATGCTCAAGACTATTCCAGATAAGAAATGCAAATCAGTAAAACAAGAAGATACCATTTTCATTTACTAGAGCTTCAAAAATAAAAGTTTGATAACACCAGTGATGTTGAAAGTACAAGAAAACAGACATGCCCACACACTGTTGATGAGAGGATAAACTGGGGCAACCTTTCTGGACGGCAATTTGGCAATCAGTATCTAATTTTTAAACGATCATACCCCTTGACCTAGTAATACTATTGCAAGAAGTATACCCTTCAGATAGGTTCCAAAAGGTAAATCCAGACACATTTACACAAAGCAGTTTGTTGACAGCATTGTTCATAAAAACAAAACACCTGAACACAACTGAAGTGTCTGTTAATAGGGGAGTGGTTAAATAAATTATGGTAGATCCATTTCAAGGAATATCACACAATCTCTTTTGTGTAAAAAAAAATCTTTTAAAGGATATCCATATATATGAGGCAGATGCAGAATTTTTTTTCTATAAAGATACAAAAGAAAATATTAAAACGATGATTTCTGGGGACAAGAGAAATAGGTATTTTATATCTTTAAATACTGTTTGAATTTTCTAACCATGTGTGTTGCTTTCATTTACAGCTAGGTAAGAGGATTGTAGTCCATTCATTTTCTTCTTTATATTTTTCTGAATTTCCTCTCATAACCATTCTAAAAATGATTATTTTTAATCCTACCTATTCTCACTTACCTAGGACTGACCATGGGCATCAGAGAGCACATGCAAATACCCTTAGTACTGTATTGTGTTTCCACTTTCTGACCTGCCCTAGCAGATCAAACCTCCCTAGCACAAGAGGCCGCGTCCAGCAAGCCTTTGTAAACCTCACATTAGTGGGGTAGTGGCTATTTGGTGTACAGCAGACATTCAGATAAATACCCACTGAATGAACAATAAATGGTGATGCCAATACTAACACGATTCTCTTTCTCCTCAAAGCCTAGGCCTCAGACACCAAAATAAATTCAGCTAATAGAGTGGGTCCTCAGAGAAATCTGACCACCCAACAAAGGGGAAGAAAATGGCCCAAAGGACTCTGGTAAGTTGCTCATCAGGAAAAAGCTTTCTGTATTAAAAACAAAGGTAAAGGTTTAGAGTGTGTTTCCAGGTTAGAAAACTAGTCAAGCTCTGATCTTAAAGGAAGTGGTTTATATTTTCCAAGACCACGAAGTTGGAGGTAACCTTAGGGATCATAACAATCCAGTAGCTTTAAAAAAGTTTTTTTAGCAGCAGAATCTTTTTTATTCTCCAAATGGAAGTCTTCCAGAAAACCGTGACACATAACAAGTAAAAGCTAAGCAACCTGGTTGGGGAGATCATCTACAAAGTTCTGTTCTAGAGTGTTGAATTCCCCAGGATTTGAAGTCAGGCACCAGGTCCTGAATTCCTGGCTCCTTCACTTCCCAGTTGCCTGACCTTAAACAGGTCAATTTATTTCCCTGAACCACTTTTCATATCTGTAAAACGGGAATAATAATAGCACCTACCTTTTAGGGTTGTTACACATAAAGCACTTAAAACAGTGCCCGCCACACGGTGTGTGTTCAATAAATGACAGCTATTTTTTATTTAACCACTGTGATTCAGTTTCCTAATCTGTAAAATGGGAATAATAATAGCACCTACCTTCTAGAATGGCTGTAAGGACTCAATGACTTAATATACACAAAAGCACTTAGAACTGTGCTGTCTAGTACAGTGGCTGCTAGCCACAGATAGCTATTGATCTCATGAAAAGGGCTAGTCTAATTTGAGATGTGCTGTATATGTAAAATACACACCAGAATCAGAAAACTTAGTACCAAAAAGTAAAATATCACATTGATATCTTTTATTTGGATTATATGTTGAAATAATACTTTGATACAGTGGATTAAAGAAAACATATTAAAATTAATTTCCTATTTCTTTTTAATTTTTAAATGTGGTTACTAGAAAATGTAAAATTAGACACGTGACTTGCAATTCATTTCTACTGGACACCAGCAGCCTTAGAACACGACTGGCATTATAATTAGTGTTACTTTGTGCGAAAACAGTAAGTTGTGGGGATGCTGAGATAAAAGAGAGGGGCCCCACCTCCTGAGAAGTGACAACCCAGTGCGGGGAACAGATGCACCTTTGCAGTGGTGGTGAGAAGTGTCATTTTAACCTATTTATTTCGGCTGCCTTGGTGGTATGAGAGGGACATCCCAACCAGCACAGGGCCAGGAAGCCTCCAAGTTTGACTGGCTGGCACCTGTGGCTGGAAAAGGGAGAAACAGGCTTTGCCAGCTCCACTACCATCGAGGACCAGCACTCCACTGTGTAGACTGTATATGGTTTCTTTCCTTGGGGACTGTCAGTGTTTCCCTTGATTGGGGGTAGGGGGCGGGGGTGAGGAGAGGATGACACCACCAGCCTGGCCCCAGACCTTGCCCTCAGGCCCAAAGCCCCACTCTGGCCTGGCCATCACCTACACCCACATCGAACCCCCAGATTAGCTGCCCCTACTCCAGGCTCCCCTCGGGATGCTAAGACCCTCCTCAGTCCCCCCAAGCCCCCTGGCCTATTATACGTCTCGGTCCCTCGCCTGGCCCACCAAAGCCCACGGCTCCCGCACGCTCCCTCGGCCTCCCAACGCCCGGAGTCTTTTACTTCATTTCCCCCAACTCGCTGCAGCCTCACCGAGCCTCCCCCCGTCCCTCTTCCAGGGCCCCGCCAACTCTCCTCGCTCCCAGGACCCTCGAAAGTCCCCCAGTCCCACCTTCCGGGCGCCCACACCCCCGGGGACCCCTCAGCTTGCCCTTGGGCCTCCCAAGATTCCTCGGCCCCCAAAACTCGCTTCAGCCGCCAGTTCCCCTGAGCCCGTCCCCGAGTCCCGCAAGGCCACAACGCAGCCCGGGCGGCCCTCGGCCTATCCCCCCGCCCTCCCTCAGCCCTGCGGGCGCCCCCCGGCCCCCGCGCCCGGCCCACCTGCGCGCCCAGCTGGTTCAGC